CTGAAGAAATGCATCGACATGGACGGTAATTAAGCTAAAAACCGTTGGAAACCTACGCTTTTTTTAAAGAAAGGTAATTAATCAGGTATCTGAAATCATATTTCTAAGAAATAAAATAGAATTTTTAACTTTCCTTGAAGCAAGAACTGATTATTACTTTAATAAGACTATTCATTAAAAATCAGACTGATAGTTTATCCTTCCTATTTTTGTGCTCTTAACCCTTTCCGGCACGCTATCTTTTAAAGTCGGAGTTTTGATAAATAAAAAATAAAAGTAAGCAGTTTAATTAGGCCTAGAGGAGTAGAGAAGTAAAATTTTTTGAAGATAGCACTTATCGTTTTAATTCTATGCGTGTGCCCAAAGTGGCACACTGATTGAATAGAGCTTCGAAAAGAGTGCTGAAAAGAGCATTTTTGTCAATGAAGTGACCGATGAGATGCGGAGAAACAAAGAATACAGACTCTCAGTTGTCCTAGATTATCGGGAGCCCGGTCTGGGCACACTTAGGGTTCGCTGTTTGATTTTAGGCAAGATTTCAAGGTAAAAATTTAAAACCAATATAGAATAAGGACATTAGCATACAGCCAAAAAATAACATAGAAATTTCTTTTCAAACAATTCCTTTTACACCCTAAAAAAATCTGGAAAATTTCTTTGAAAACTGAGGGTCTTAAAAAAACTAAACATTGCTAAAATATATGGACTGGTTTGTGTTGAGCTGCCATCTACTACAAATAAAGAAGGTTCAGAGTAACCTATAAATCCTTTTTCACTCAATTTTTTTTGTACGTACAAAAGGAAATTTTTAGGTGTGCCGCAAAGGGTTAAAACAGGAATAGTTGCAGAGAATTTAAAAAGAAAAAAAAAAATTGTTCACTTGAAAATGAAAATTTTCTTTGCAGAAGGTAATAGAATGCTGTCATGTTGCCACCTGAAACTAAAAGAATTTCTTACTTTATTTAAAATTAAAAGAACCATAACATTTAGTGAACTAAATAACAATCCAAATACTCTAGACTTTAAACAACGTATTTAAAGTCTAGTTAGCATTTGGATTGAGATAGCATCATTTGTTTTTTAATAAATTTAACTCCATTTAATTTGAATATTTATCTTTTTTAATTAAATTAAAACTGAATTGGAAACTTTGTATAAAAACATTCATCGAAAAGCATATCTTTTCTACTTTATTCAAAATAAAATTCAAAAGAGGTATTAATATAGTAATTCTTAACTTCATTAATCAACTAATTAATATATTACTGAAAACGTCATACCTATCATATTGGTTTATCATTGACTCATCTACTAAAATAGACTTGTTCTTACAAAAATGATTATGTATTTCCGCTTTTTAAAACTGGGATAATATTTAATTATTGACTAGGATAAGTTCGACTATTTGAATATGGCAAAGCACTTGAAGGCTATCTGCCTAAAGTGAGAAACGCCTTCGTGGAAGATGTTTTAAAGAAAATTGACTCGTATTCACGTTAAATCTGGGGAAATCCACGAAACACTCTTATGTAGCCAACTCGAAAGATGTTCACATGGATTCGAACCCATACGAACTAACAGTATTCAGCCGTCTTAACCGGTTGGCCGCTGTTAGGGTCTTAGCATACTGGTAACTTACAGATTAGTTTCTTAATTAAGAAATTTTAATTGGTTTAAAATAATACAAGATGATTTTCTTGCCTTCTGTTTATTTAATAGTATTTTATTTTGAAAAACAAAAGGCTGGAGAAAATTAAATTCTTATCCCTTTTCTTGTCTTACACTTAAATTTTTTGTTATTGCAGTTGATAACTTTCAGATAACTGCTGCATTGTTTTATTTCGAGTACTGTTCCTTCAAAAATGATATTGAATCAGAAATAAAGAAAGACTTTACATTATCAACACTTAGTTTTGTTTAACTGAAGAGAGCATATCTAGAGAAGACACATGGGCGGAACAGTAATAGTGCGTGATCCTTAAACGTTATCATATCTCTCTCGATTTTAATTTACAAAAACCCATTGTGTTTCGATATTGCTGGTAAATACAGTTTTACTGGAGAACTCTTAAGTGTAACAACGTAAATAAAGAATTTTTACACATTTATTTTGTAAAACCTAAAAACCAGTTTCATATCTGAGGGGTTAATTGAGTAATAAAGATAAGGACATTAATTAGCTAATATTTTTTTAGGTTTACATGTAAATTCTCGAAAATAGTTATTGCAAGCTTTGTTTAATTATATATTGATCATAAACATATGCTTCTAATTTCAAAATTTCTTTAAACCATGCAGAATTTCATAAAAGCAGTTTCAAGATTGAAAATGCTTAAGAAAAAGGTATATCATAGACCCTTAGAACTGCGATCTCCAAACCTTTTAATTATAAGTTGCACACCATATCATATAGTATAATGTAACGCAATGTAATATAATGTATTATACTATAACACAGCATAATATAATGTAATATAAGGAAGTCTAATGTAATATAATGTAATGCATGTAATGCGCTTTATAGCTGATGCAGTTAAGATGTTAAACTATTCAGATGCTAAATGAAAGCAAACACAACGATCGCTTAAAAACTGATCATATATTCGCAACTGGTCGTGAACTTACTTCTTTGGCGTATCGTCAAGTATCATTTGACGTATCCTACTTTGGAGACCACTGCCTTAAAATATAGTCCCTTAGAATAAAAATTCCACTTAACAGAATATTTTGTAGGCTGCTTTAGGAGATAAAAATTGAAAAAATTCTATATTTTTATGCACAAAGTTTATGAAACTGAACGTTATAAATATTTCAAAAAAGAATAAAAGAGGATGGTTAGAAGTTTTCTTTTATTCAAGACAAGACCGTTGATCATCAAAATAAGCGACTTTTATTTTATGGATACTCTATAAATTTGTACCCTATAGCATTAAATTTAATCCAGTAATATGCAGAAAAAAATGACTAAAAGTGCATTTGGTCTTAAATGTCTGTGTGAATTCTTCAAGTGAAGGTAGGGAAGTTTTGTTTTTTTAATTATTTAAAAAATAATGATTGTTTTACTAGCTGAAATTTTACTATATACAATATGAAGAACTGACATTTATAAGGTATTTCTCCCGCCTTCTTAGCATGCCTTCGTAGTGTAGTGGTCAGCACGCTCGACGCGAATTCGAGAGGTCCGTGGTTCGAGTTCCGGGGAGGACATTGCTCATTTTTTCACATCTCTTGCTTGCAAAACATCCTAATGACTTACACGTTAAAGAACGTTAGTAAACGGAAGAATACGCCTGCAATAAACATTAAAAACAAAATTGGTACTTACATACTGACGCAATCTCCTTGGCGCGATTTGGCTATCTTTTACAGATGAAAAGTTACTTATCAAATGCAAATTGGTGGTTTTCGAAGCTTTTTTTTAAATATTCCCGACTTATCGATATTTACCGGCAAACATTATTAAACAACAAATAAGTCGGCAAATATTATCAACATATAAAAAGTAAACAAATCTTAGAAATTTCTAAGTACAAACTTCGGTTGTTAAAAGATTGTAAAATACATTAAAAAGTAAATAAAGCACATTTCCGGGAAATCTTTCTCATTTTTTAACGCTTTTCCTCCCTCGATGTATACAGAAGTCCATTTTCACCTAAAGAAAACCAGAGAATTTCACAACTCGGCAATGTGCACCAGTTAACTAACTACAAACGCAGCTCATCATTCTCCACCTTAGTGATTTTGCTTCAAAATATTGTATTCCTGCAGAAATTTTGCTGCAGTTGTTCCCGTTGCTGGCAAATTTCACAAGCAAAATTTTAAAAATGAATTTAATGCAAAAAAAAAAAAAAAATACCGTGATTTGCTTATAATAACTTTTGGAACTTTGAATGTAATAAAAAGGAAGCAAACGAAAATGGTGACGTTGCTTGACAGAAGCGCTTATTATCAGCATGGTTGCCAGAGTTTGGCACATTCTGAAAATTTGGCGACTTCTATAAAAGAGGCTGCGATAATGCGTAAGTGCCGAAAATTTAACATAAGCTACTTTTTTCGAGCACATAAATGTACGGTGAAGCTAAGTTTCATATGGCTTATGGTTGATTGGCTTATAAACTGCAGCAAAATATTTCATGCATTATTTACCTAGAAAGCTATCCTTCTGTATAGAATATTCTGGAGGAAACTGGTACTGTGTTGCAATTAATAAAGCTGTGGAATCTTTGTTTAAACAAAAATCAGTTTAGGTGATTACACAAGGCTGCGAGTGTTTCCTGAAGAACCTGATACAGTTCAGACATTTACGGACGGCCTCCTCAATACTTATGCCGCCGCAACCAGCAAATCTTCTCTTTTAATGGACTATAACGCTGTCTCAATATATATTACTGATGTCCCCAACTGGGGAAATCAGTAACATATATTGAGTGAATGAAGGGTTCTTTATACCTTTCATTCACTTAATATAAGTGACTCACTTGTTATATTTAAGACTTGAGGGTAATTCTCCACACAGTCTTCTAGGTCTCGTTCGTTTATGCTACCCAAGTTTAGGCGACGTTAAAAGTTAATTTCTAAGATCTTTAAATCAGCTGCAATGGGGGGGGGCGGTTATGATTTTCTGTGTCTTTCTTCAGTTTGAAGTAGCTGACAATTTAGTTTACAAAAGTGGATAACAGGTGCAAAGTCTACATTCACGCCAGCAAAGAGTGTATTCCAAATTAACATTGTTTTTCATATTTATTTGAACAAAAATTTATTAATCACATGTTTCATGATACAGCGTTTTATGCTTTTCTAGAACTAAAAAATGTATAATTTTTAGCATGCATTATTAATTTTTTATTTAATTTACTTTAAAACTTCTGAGTTAAAAACTCTTTTTTTTTAATGTATTGATTAAAATGCATTTTAATATATTCATAAGGAAATATTTTTCGCCAAGATTACCAGGTACGTTATGAATAGGAAATAACTAATAATCACGTAACCTTTTCCAGGTCTTTAAACTACGGGGGCATAGGAGTTGTAATTGGTCATGAGATGACTCATGGATTTGATGACAAAGGTAAGATTCTTATCAAATTAGAAACTAAATCTTAGCTTTCTAAAACAATATTATTTTGAAACTATCTTAAACGAACGATATATTATTTCTGAATAAGCAAATAAATGTATCAAGCCGTGTGGTTCGTAATACCTTACCTAAGCGCAAGTTAAGTATATTTTTCTCCTTTCTGAAAGAGACCGTGGAATTCAAATTTTAGAAGTTATGAAGCTTTTATTTCATGTGTTATAATGAGTATACTTAAAGTGTCATTACTTTTACTTCTCCATGCATAAAACACGTGAGGAAAACCCTATGGCTTAAGTACTCACAGTACATAAAAAGAAATATTTTTGAAACTCTATATACTTTCTAAAATTGTGCAGTTAGGTCGTAAAAAATAGACATTTGTTAGTTTGATAAATTAGTACACTTGAACTCCGTAACCTAAAGTGCTCCTTCTATCCAAAGTAAAGTTAAACCCTTTCTTAAATTATTAACGTGTCTTAATTTCTTTCGCTAATTTAATCGAGATAAAAAATACATGTTATTAAGATTAATTTAGATGAATGAATGCATACGATATGTACAACAGTTTATATTAACTTATAAACGTTAATTCAGAACATATACAGACTATAAATGCTAATAGAAAAGCAGCTTTTTTGTTTCTTCTATTAAAAGACAATAATATGTACTATATTGTTAATTTTATTATTTTTATATAAATAATATATAATGCTTAATTTCAACTGAACAGAAAAGCATTTTGCATCGTTTTATTTATGCAAATATAAAATTTCTTTGTTTAACATCAAATATAGTAAATATAAAAGTAAAGTTTATTTTTTTTTACTGCGCTAATGAAATAAATGTTTCCTTTTACGGTCTCTACGTAAATAAAAACTTTATAGTAATTTAGTTGAAATTACGGGCTTGTATAGAAAATAATTTCATTGTTATACTTGGTCTCAAGAAGTGCATTTTTAGTTTTATGGAAGTAAAAATGTTATATTATTTTTGTTAAAATAAAATAGTATTAGAAGAAAAGAAATTCCCTTTATTTGCATTAACGTAAATGCGTATGAAACCTGAAGGAAAAAGATGACCGAATTATTCAAACTGGCCGTTGTCCTTGTTAGTCTGGTTGTTTAAAACTCTACTGTTGCTTAAATTCTTAAGAAAAACATGCCAATAAGCATTGTAAAAGAATTCCTTTTAAAATTCAAAAAATAGTAGCAATGTAGCCTATTTTCAGATTTTTAGATCTTAAGTGTTTTTTTTATATACCTATTCCCCAATGGCAATCAAAATCGCCCATAGAGGGAACTGCACTTAAGCAGATATCCAGATGAGCTGTGGTCTCAATTAGTTCAGATATTTGAAATTCTGTTGATTTCCGAATGTTTGACAAAATCGTTGCGCACATCTCTAAAAAAGAACTTACGTTTATTCATTAAGATCTCAGCAACATATCCAAATTTCAGCGTTTCACAGGCGAAGGTTTCTACTCCTATGTTTGTTGGAGTCGCCCATAGTTGCCAACTCCTTGTTCCTGGTATTCTGACACTAAAATTGTTGTCAAGTGTTTGTTCCTGGTGTCATATAATACATTGTCCATTGATGCTCCAAATCTCATTTCATATGGTATACAGTGTACTGTCGACTATTCGGACACACTCAACGTTATGCTCACGAGTGTGTAAAAACCAATCATGTATAAGTTCAATTAAGTAGAAAGATTCTTCTTAACATAGAACTCGGAGATTTATCTATTTGTAAAGATTTCGAGGCAATACCTGAAGTTGTATGCCAAAAAACTAAAAGTATAAAATTTTTCGAAAATCTCGATTGGGAAAACATCAAAGAATGGTTCGATGGCGATTCAACTCAACCGGGCTTTTAACCGGGCTCGAGTGATACGGATATAGTTTGAAACATCACAAGAACACATATGGAGAGAGTGAAGAAGAAACTGAGAATTGCATTAGTCGCGAAACAGCAATGACTTCTGTTGAAAGTCTATTGGAATTCGTCGACCAAATGGGATTCGAATACAGTGATAAAATAGCACTACGAAAAATACGCTGCGAAAGACGAAAAATATTTAAACGTTCTCAAAAAGAAAGTAATATTACAAATAACTGTTTTTTCAAGAAATAAACACATCTAATATGCAGGAAAATTAATAGTTCGAATTATCTTTGTTTTTCAACTATCAGTGACCTACTTCTCCGGTATTAGCCCGCATAATCGAAAGTACAGTGTATACGTAACTTTTTAATGCTATTTATGGAGATGAGAGCACCCGCCGGGACTGCCTGTCTGAAATTAGAACGGACAAACAAATAGTCGTTTCCCGATGCCAGTTGAAATCCTCTATATTGCGAATCAAGATTAATCTAATACTTTTAAGATTTAGCTTTAAGCTTGAAGTTTTGTCATTAAGATGCTTGAATTTGTTAATAGTCCCTAGGATTTGGAAATGACTCGTTCCAGACTCAATTTTTTATTGATAACTGGAGCTAAATAGATTTTGTAACTTAAAAGAATTTTCTTGGTAAATAATAAATACCTTCATAATAAGTCTTTCAGTTGTTAATCTGAAAATCACAAGTACGAGGAATTTATTTAGGTTGATGTGAACTTTTCAGCGGCAACAATTTTTTTTCTTTAAGTTCTTATCTTGTAAAAGTGTTTTATTACAGGTTATTAGGATTCCAAGATTTGTGGATTAGGGCTGTTGTACCGTTAAACTAACAAAAAATGAGATAAATAGGATATGAGAAAAAGTTTCAAATTTATAGAATATGTAAATGATAAATTCTCTGGCTGTCTAATTTGAATAGTTTTGATAATGCAAAAAAAAAAATGAATCCATTGCCACTCGGTGAAATTTCTTTTATCTAGGATAGAACGCGTGCCAAAACTTCCTCTTAAACTGAAATTCGATAAGCTTGTAAAACATTTAGAAATGAAAATATTACTAACTCCTTCTTGTGCTCACGAATCATACACGAAAATTTACTTTAAAATTTTACAGTCAGAAAGTCTGAGATGATATGATGATCATCATACAATGACATGCAGCTGCTTTATTTCTTACCGCGATGCTTTGAATTTTCGAAATTTTTTTGATCTTCTAATTGTTTTAAACTGCGAAGTTCGCAACTTCAGGTCCTACGATCCGGCCAATATCTTATCAAGGCTGTTGATATGACATATCATACAAGCCTCACATTCGCATTCATAGAGCTCCAAGTATGTTTGAGCGTAATCTTATCGAAACCACTTTTATATTTCCAACAGCACGGCTATCTTTTCCGAGAACATCGCAGCTATACAAATTTAGACCCTCAGCTCACATGAAACTTTATTTTTTCATCACATACACTTAATATCGTAAAAAAGAGTCTGAATTAAGTTAGGTAATGAACTTATATGGGATATAAATAATGAGCAACACCAGCTTCCGTTTCATAGTATATATATATATAGCAATATTTCCGCTAAAATTCCAACCTATATAATATTCCTAACAAATATAATATTAATGAAAAAATCAGGTATAAAAACATTATTACAAATGCATCTTTATTTTGTTCGTTTGTTATATTTTTCCTAGGACGTCAGTTCGATAAAGAAGGTAACTTGAAGCAGTGGTGGAACGAAGCTACTGTTCGCCGATTCCGCGAAAGAGCGCAGTGCATCATAGACCAATACTCCAGTTACGTTCTCGAAGATATAGGACTCAACGTGAGTATTAAGATCTTTTCCAACTCATAGATATATAAAGAATAAATAAAAAGTAAAAATCATTTCAAAAATCTAATCCAATCGCTTACAAACAGCAACAAGTGGTGGTAATAATGCAAAATAAATTAAGTAAATCCGTTTAAAATCCATCGTATATTTAATTTGGAACAAATCATGTGCAATAATAAACGACCAGAAGCACAGTAGCAAATTGCATGAAAAGTGTAAAATATATTAAAACAAAAAATGAAAAAAGGAGAAAAGTTATTCACATCTTTGGCTCTATCATCATTAAGAGGTTGCTGCAGCGAATGAAGTAAAAACTGCATCCTGTTTCTGAACTGACAACGACATAAACTATAAATTAGAGTTTAATACTTAAAATCTTCTCGGAAAATTGATTAAAGTTATTTGTGCCTTTATCAGTCCAACCCCTACAGGGCGTAAGTAGCGTAAAAATACAGCATTAAAACCATAAAACCTAAACATAAGCTTTAAAAAATTTAAAAATCTAAAAAAACGTTTTTATTAGACTGAGTCTATAATACAAAGAAAATAAACACAAGTAATACAACACATGACAATCCAAAATTCCCGATTTAAATACTCTCAAACTGATTTGTATTCTGGTGAGAAAATTGAAAGGAGAAGTGATAGTAAAGCCGAAATAATAAATAAATTGTTACATAAAATAATGGTAATTCTGTTAAGTGATTAATAATATAAAAAGTAATTGCAAAAACTTTTAATGTAATATTACATTAAAATAATTAATTAAACTAATAAATTAATTAAATTAGTAAAAATTAATAATCTGTAATAGGAAAAATCATCGAATTACCTTAAAAATCTTGAATACAACCATAAAAGTCAAATGCATCCCGCCGAAAAATTAAGCTCAAGTGAAGTTTCAGTTCGCCTCAGTTCCACGAGCGAAAAATGTTGTGATGCTTACTATCAAAATTAATTAGACTTTTAATTTCAGCCATCGAAAAAATTTGTAGAGCTAAGTATAAATATATTTCCGGAAAAGTTATGAAAAAATCATTTTGAAGAAGTTAAAAATTAGTGTAGGGATTAAAGACAAATTTAAAGAAAAAGTACTAAATGGTATTAAAACATAAAGAATGTAGGACAGTGTCTATAAAAGAGAAAAAAATGTAGAAACTTAAATAAGTTCTCATTTGTTTAGAGAATACAAAACTCATTCAAGAGGGCTTTCTTTAGACTTGGAAACAGAAGTAGCCCCATTTTGTTAATTAAAGAAATTGCTAATAAATTACGCAGTCTAATGAAAAAGTATTAATGTAAGAATTTTGACAGGAATGCCTAATACAGCTGTGTTTAGAACATCCAGACTATACCGCTATAAGGGTTAGGTCATGAAAAACTGCAGTAATTTAATTAGCTGTTTTTTGGTGAATTTAATGGGAATTTTATAATCTTTTAACATTTTAATCAATATACTAAACTTTAAAACCATTGCTGCTATTACAAATATTTTTTATTCTTTTGGTTTGATTAATAATAGTGTCAGGATATTTTTTCAACACACGCGCACCCATATATACGTAATGAAAAAAATCTCTTTAAAACCTTATCCAATTATAAGCCGATAAGTGCAACAACTGTTGATAACATTGTAAAGCAGTGATAGTCAACCTGGTCCCTACGGCCCACTAGTGGACGTTTCAGCTTTCATGTTGGGCGGTAGCAACCATCCAGCGACCGGAACGCCTAATCCTGCCTGACCAACATCTGGAGACGACAAAGACGTCTCGCATACTAGAGCGCAAGGCTCCTCTGTATATATATAAAAGAATATAGGAGCATTACTGGAACGGAAAAGCGCGAAGCCTTCCGAAAGTCGCGACCATGCAACAGACTTCAAATTCCTAAATTTTGTTCACGTTACTTAAGTGAAGCTAAATTGTTACGTAATCGAAACTAAAGTCAGCACACACTTAGATTTCAGAGAGCAAGCACATGCTTATAGCTTCAAATAAAATATTGCGAAATATCGTGAGCCCATGTCTCAATATGCACAACAGCTGCCGAAGTGCAAATTGTACTTTGACAGCTGAGGAAGATGGTTCTGTAGTTAAACCATCTAAACTAGTCCAATAAAATTTACAAATATAACACTGATTCTTGTTGTTTGACCTCTCTAATAATCATTATTCGACGTGTTATTTTAATCTAAATTAACTGGAAAGCAATTTAGAAGTAAATGATTTAAAAACCTTGTTTCCAAACATGCCCAAACAACAAAGTTGCCCAAAACCTTAAATAGCTTGTCTAAATTTGAAAGTCTGTATTATAATCCCCATTGGTTGATTATTCAGAAATAAAGCGTTGTCAAGATTGATATTTAAAACGAAAAAATTATTTATCAAGACAAAATATAAGTCTCACCTTTTTCACCTTACCAAGCTGATATTTTCTTCATTTAAAATTAAACTAATAACATCAAGTAAAATTCAATCTTTACACTGATGTGAATTTTATTAAAATTCTCGATGCATTTCGAGAAAATTTGACACTGGTTTCATTACTAAACGAAATATGGTATATCATTTGCTGTGGCCGATGTAGGATTTTATTATCACTAAGCTCGAGTGATCTCGTATCAATACAGGCAGTTATCACATAATGGAAACATTAAAACCGAACCGTATCAGTACGTTTAAAAATGATATTGCCCAAATCCTTACGTCTGTGCTGCATATACTCTTAAGGGTCTTATAAACCTAAAATTCTTTATTCGTTTCCTGAGATATTTCTGTATGTCCTCCAGGACTGCGCCAGTGAGTTAATCAGTATAAGAAAGAGCTTACGTTTAAAGACTTTCAAATTTAGGTCGAATTTCAGGGCCAGTTTCCGGTCTCATGCTCATTCTATCTAGCATTCTCTGTATTCTCTAGAGATGCTTTTGACCATTTTACTTATTTTATAGGAGTGCTGGAAATACAATAGTCTTTGTTTCTATCATCCCTTGAAATATTACGTTATATTGTATATTTAGGCCTTAAATTCAACCTGAGCCTGGCACAGCTATTCTTCAATTGAGTGAAATTGTAATTGAGCAGATTTTAAACTTCGCCGGAGCTTGGCTCTGGTACTTCTCAGTTTTCCACATAAATCGTAATTCTAGCCGGAGAGCATCGAAACCCTAAATAAGAGGACTGTGGCTTTTCTTATGCGTAACGGAACCACAATTTCCACAGAAAATTGCTCGTATCTCGATAATTGTATTTTAATGATAAAATAAGCCTTAAAAGTCGATTCTAACTTCTAAATGCATGCCTGCGTTTCACTGGAAAACAAACCCCTTGACAGAGGTTGAGATTTTTGAGGAAAGGGAAGTCCTTTCCCTCTCCCACATATCAAATATGTTTTTCTTTAGAATGTCTACTGAATTTATAACAATGGGTAAATTCTTCGTTCCCAAAAGTACCCGAAATGACCATTTGGTCCTGCAAGTTCAATGCTAGTGTCTTCTCTCGTATTTGAGGCTAATATTTTGCCTCAGTCACAATTTGCTTGTCTGCTAGAACTATATCGGAAGGAGATCGCGGTAAGAAAGTGTAAGTGTTATCTCTTTTGTTTTCATATCGATAGATCTCTGTTAAAATTGCTTTTCGTACCCTCATACTGTTTCTAGCATTCTCTCTATTCTTACTAGAGGTGCTTTAACCATTTCCCCCATAGACATGCTGGAAAAAAAAAATGGGTTTTATTTTTGTCACCTCTTGAAACAGTATATTATATTTAATAGGGTTTAAATTCAGTGAGGACCCAGCTAAAGCTATATCTTAGTTGAGTGGAATTGTATTCCAGGCGGAGTTCCAAATGAGATGTAATCCTATTTTATGTATTTTTTTAATTATTTACCATTAATTTTATAATGTATTAATCTTTTATCTATTTACATTTTATTGAATTTTAATTACTTTGTAGAGACATTAGGTATTTTTTGAAGCAGGCAAGATGAAAAATTAGCAACTGCCTTCGCCGGGAATGGAACCACGGACCTCTGGAATACCAGCCCAGTGTGCTGACAACAACACCACGAAGGCACGCTAGAGAGGCGGGAGAAATACCTTATATACTCCCCCTTTTAAAGGGCGACTGGGGTATTTAGGGGACCCAGTCGCCAAATCCTGGGTGAGGAGAGTCATCATCCAACACCCTTTTAGTTCGGTCGCCACTGTAGAGACATTAAGATGTTTTGGAAGCCAGAGAGATGAAAAATTAGCAACAGCCTTCGCCAGGAATCGAACCACGGACCTCTGAAATTCCGGCTTAGTGTGCTGACCACTACACCACGAAGGCACGCTAGGAAATCGGGAGAAATACCTTATAACTTACTAATTATTTTATTTATTTACTGTCATTCTTCTGTCTTGATGGCCTTCCACAGAGTTCCAAGGCTTTTAATTTTAAAAATTAAGTCCTGCTTCAGACATTCTAAGGATCACAAACTGAAATGTTTAAATCATTTGCCCTGATTTTTAAAGCACAAATTTTGAAGTTTAAGAAGCGTGCTAGAAACAAGGTTTGTAAAACTGGTTTTCATTTCAATAAAAATTCACATAAGAAAGAAAGCAAAAGAAAATACAAATTTCTTTTTAAAAAAATGACAATTTCATGTTCTAATTTACATATATTTGAAATATGTGTGTACATATAATATATATATATATATATATTTGAAATGTGTGTATAATATATACAAATAATATATATATGTAAGATAAAAATGTATGAATCAGAATTATAATATAACTATTATGTGTTATTATAATATAAACATTAATTCTTCCTCTCTATTCTAAAATCGTAATAACTTATCTGCATTGCGTCATTCAAATTAATCATGCGATCTTACGTAACCGTTAATACCAGATGCCTCTTGACAACCAATCACCGAATTGTAAACCAAAACTTTTCTCTTCGCGTGCTTCCATCTTTCATAACTACGCACTTCAGCTTTTGCTCGCTACTGTGCTGTGATTTCGCTGGCTTGCTTTCTATAACAAAAATATCAAAAATGTAAATGTTCTGTGGAAAGGCACGACTAGAGTGCCAAGTGATTGTGGCCACAAATATCAATTGGAAATAAAAATGGAATTAAAATCGCTTCTACTGCCAAGTTTATTTACGAAGTCAACACATTAGCTTACGACGCAATCAGATTACTCCCTCTTCAATATAGGATAACTACGCATCTACAGTGCCCCGTCTTTTCCTTGTGCTTTTATTATGACAATTAAGTCGGCAGGATAGTTTCCTGCAGACTGAAACCTCAATGGAAAATTTAATTCAGCTCTTCAAATCATCGTTTTGTGATAAATTCAAGATAATGTGAGAGAAGTGAATCATCAAATTTGTTTTTTCAGTGTTTAAAAAATAACAGATCATTCTTCTGCTGTCGTGTTTTGCAAGTGCTTCAAAAAAATAATCACGCGTAGTGTTTACAGATTGAAAGTAATCTCTCGATAAATTGAGAAGTTCGAATGCCTAGTGAAAAGGAATATTTAATTTGCTCGCCGATCTCTACAATATTTAGAAAAAAAGTGCTTTAAATCATCAGTGAATTACCGTTTAGGAATTCAGCATTACAGCGGGTTCAAGGTCGATCCGAGTTAGTGTTTGCAAGTATGTGTGACAGAAAATTATTTGCACTTCTGCTTTTTCAACAGCTCAAAAATTATTACATTCGTGTGAATCTAGCTCAGGAACTAAATTATTTAATGTGCTTTGGATTCTATAGTTTTCATTTCAACTTTGGTTAACAATTTCTGCAATTTGTTTTGAGAAAATCTGAAATTCTTGTTCATTAATTTTTCTAATTTTTCATAGTTATGTGTGAGCAAATTAAGTAATTAATTTTAAGCTATTTAAATTATTCATAGGGAAGGATATTAAGATAAGTTTTTATGTTTTTGAAATTTTGTTGAGAATTTTGAATACTAATTTTATAATTATTCTAAAAATGAAGTAGGTGTAAAAAATAAGTAAAATTATTACAGATACGTAATATGAAATTATGGTAAATGCATGTTAAATTTATGGGTGATTGTATGTTAAGTATAGTGTATGTCGAGGGAGTATTGGTTCCTTCAACAGAGGCTTGTTATTACCTCTGTACAGTTGTTCCTTTTACCCTCTTCATGCAAGATAATGTTGGAGGCTCTCATTTTATGAGTGTTTGTAATTTTTTTTATATTATTATTATATTTTTTTATTATGGAATGTATTAGTGCAGTTCTCAAAAGCCAGTTACCTTAATGCAAGGAACGGAGGCCTATTCAAGTAACTGTGTAGGCACCGTGGGCCACCAGTGCAGAGAACACACTGGTTAGCTCAAGAGGGACAGCTTTATTGATGGATATGTTTGTTTAGAAGTATTGCGAGGCCTTCCAGTATGGTAAAATAAAGGAATTGTAAATGAAAGATGATAAAGGTGAAACCGTAAATTCTGAAAATCTTAATCCTATTATTTATGATGTTAAATTATAATTTATCAGTATGGATAAGTATCATAAATATTTATGTGCATTACGTTTAATTATAAGCAATAATTATGTATAAGTTATTTTGTGATATTCTGTGATATCAAGAACCTTCCCTGAAGAATTATGATTATGTGAATTCTCAAACAAAAAGACTTTTGGACTGAAATGTTGAAAAATTCAATAGGACTCTAAAAATTAAAAATTTATTTTAAAAAAATTGATATTTATAAATTATACTTTTATAGAATCAAAATTTTTATGATTTATGTTTTTCTTTTTTATTTGCTAGTGCTTTAACTCTTTCTCTTTAAAAAGGCTTCTCTGTCGCTACGCCTTTTTCTTTTTGAAGGGGGGAAATATGTAAGATAAAAATGTATGAATCAGAATTATAATATAACTATTATGTGTTATTATAATATAAACATTAATTCTTCCTCTCTATTCTAAAATCGTAATAACTTATCTGCATTGCGTCATTCAAATTAATCATGCGATCTTACGTAACCGTTAATACCAGATGCCTCTTGACAACCAATCACCGAATTGTAAACCAAAACTTTTCTCTTCGCGTGCTTCCATCTTTCATAACTACGCACTTCAGCTTTTGCTTGCTACTGTGCTAAGATGTGATTTCGCTGGCTTGCTTTCTATCCCAACAATATCAAAAATGTAAATCTTCTGTGGAAAGGCACGACTAGAGTGCCAAGTGATTGTGGCCACAAATATCAATTGGAAATAAAAATGGAATTAAAACTGCCTCGACTGCCAAGTTCTTTAAATGTTACCAAGTTAGCATTACTAGCATACTACGCAATCAAAATCTTCTTCAATATGGGTCTAATCACGCATCCACAGTGTTCCGGCTTTTCCTTTCCCTTGTGTTTTTATTATTACATATATATATATATTAATTATTCACAAATATACATGTATAAATAATAAATGTATATAAAATAAAAAATATGTAAATTAGAACACTAAGTTAAATTTTCAACATTCCCTTAACTCTCCGTTTTAATTGGATATTTCTGTTTTCCATTCTAAAAATGGTATCTGCTCATGTTAGACCTCTCTAAACTGCATCATTTCAAAATTAATTGCTGCCCTACGATTCTTACATAACGCTAATAACGCAGATAATTTTGCAAAGTGAAACTCAAACAGGATTGGATTAACAGTTAAGCAAAATTAGCACGTGGTTAGGGCACTGAGGAAAGAAGGCCCTGCAAAAAGGTGCTTAGGGTCTCAAGAAAAGAGGAACCATAAAAATTTCCCATTTTCATTTTTATCGTGGTGCAGCTAAATAAGACCTAGAGAGAAGTCATTTGGGGGAAGCTAGTGTAAAAGTATGTGGGAGCAATAAAATCTGTTAAGTGCTTAAAACCTCTAACACTCTTAATCTGGCCCTCAACTCAGACAACTAATAACAATTTCAGACAGTTAATGTTAGCCAATTACACTAGCCGACATTGAAAGTGCAACACCAATAAGGAGCGGCCAGAAAATTATGAAACTCCTCAAACAGAGAGAGAAACGAACAATAAGTTATCTTTATTTCGAAATAATATGCATAATATAGAGCGAGAACAACATCGGCTTAGTTTAGTTTAGTTATGGAGGACGCGGGCACCATCCCTCTACCATGGCGGTTAATTGGCTCACTAGATAGTAAGAGTAAGACCATCGTAAACGGCGATACACGAAGCAACACTTTTAGGTACAGAATCAATGAGACTACGGAAGGTGTCCTGAGAAATGGCTCTACATTCCCTGTCAACCATTTGCCACAGCTCGTCTTCTGAATGCGGCAACGGCAGAGTCTGCAAATGGCGTTCAGTCACATCCCAAATGTGTTCGATTGGTGAGAGATCAAGAGAGAACGGTGGCCAGGGAAGCATCTGCACACACTGCAGAACACGTTGGCTGATGCGAATAGTGTGTGGCTGAGCGTTATGCTGCTGATAAACGACACTAGGCATTCCTTGAAGATAGGGAATTGTCATCGGCTGCTGCACATCGTCAACGTATCGTGATAGTGCCCTGAATACGAACTAGAGGGTACCTGGAATCGTACGCAATAGCGCCCAAAACATGATGCCGCATTGTCGCGCGGTAGGGCTTTCCAAATTGGTGCCGGATTGGACCTGTCTCCACATCGACGCCACACTCGTGCGTGGCGATTATCATTGGAGAAACAGAAGCGTAAATCATCTGAGAATACAACCATGTACCATTCCGTCTTCCATATCGCTCGAGCCCTGCACCATTGCAGATATTGGCGTCTATGATGTGGGGTCAATGGCAGCCTTCTTAATGGACGAGTGGAGGCCACTAGCCACCAATCGTCGGCAAATGGTTCTGGTCGATATGGGAACATCCAGGGTGTCTTGAACATGCTGCAGCATGGAGGAAGAATTGGCTTTGGATGCGCCACCACTTGTCGGCGGATGCGGCGATCCATGAGTGCTGACGTCGCTCTGGTTGCACTCGCACCCCTCGAACTTGCCTATTTCCTTGTTCCAACCATCGTCGCCCCAGCAGGTGCACTAGCTGAGATTTGCCATATGGATCAACCTGCCCTTCCCAGTCAGATCACCATGGCCCTTGTAAAATCATCTGTCTGCTGGAACTGCCTCCGTTGACGACGGTCTGACATTCTCTGCTATTACACGCGTCCTCTGACACAAAAGCAAAATTTTTACGATGATTTCCATAGCAGAAATAACGGCACGCAAATTGAACATTCTGCAGGTTTCTTCCCTTATATCTTTTTCAACGTGCGCTGGAGAGCTGTGCGTTTCACATCATTCCCATAACTCGGTGATGAAAGTGTACCTTGAAATTTGAATAATAATGTTAGGGCCACTCGTTCTTGGTGTTGCATGTTCAATTTCGGGTAGTGTAAATTGCAGCTAAGCCTTTCGAACCAAGATCTTTTCCACACGTCGCATTTGCTCTCCGCTTGTCTTGCTAATTAGATCGCTATCGCTTCTGCGGCCACATCTTCGAAAATGTAAAAGTTCTAGAACAGAAGCTTATTGCGTCACTTTATTTGTGTTGACTTAAATGTCAGTCAACAAGAATAAGAAGAATTATTAAAAATCGCCCATGACTGCATTATACTTCAACATGTCATCAAGATTTAAATCATATATATATATATATATATACTATATACTATTATTGATACAAAAGATTTAAATGAAATTTCAGTGTCTAATTATAGTGATATGGTTAACTTTGTTTAATTCTCTAAAGATATTTAATGCAAAAAAAAAAAATTTGTTCTTTTGCATCCATTAGATCAATGGGAAAATGACGCAAGGGGAAAACATTGCAGACAACGGAGGTCTGAAGCAAGCTTATCGGGTAAGGCAGAATTTGAGAAGATTGCTTTTATTTTATAGACATAATTGAATGAAACTGTAATATTATTAAATAGTATTTCTATTACTATTTCGCATAATCCGAAAAATACAAACAACATAACAAAATAAAGAAATTAGTGTATTAATTACTATATGCAATTAGTGTCATGAGCGATAAGCACGTTCTTTACCTTCCAAAAAGAATTTTAAAAATGCCTGAAAGCCAGCAAATGATTCAGCTGAAAAGAGAAATTTATGGATATCATTTTAGTAGTTTTTCATTCAAGTTTCAAGTCTTTGAATTAATGTAATTAATAAGTTATTGTTGAAATCTATCATAAAATTCATACGTATTACCTTATTAACACCTAAAAGCAGAAGTTATTGTTCTCTCTAGAAGTAGAAAATTACATTCTGTGAAAATAAACAGTAATAACATCATGATAACTCTTACTCATGAATTTCAGAGAATAGCTATCTCTCCGATTGGACGCGTTTGATGAGAATAGCAAAAAACACAGATTTGCATTTTAGGCATGGTGTTGACAATATATTCAATATAAATTAGATGGAAAAAGTCTTAAAAAGCAATGAATTCCTGATTAAAAATTCTTTCAAAGTACTCCAGCATGTCCATGAAATTAAATTCTGTGAAAAATAGTTCATATTTTATATTGTCTGTACGTCTACATTGCATTATTAAGTTATTTATTTTATCCTCTTTCCTCCTTAGGCATACAAAAAATGGGTTAAGAGACATGGAGAGGAACCTTTACTTCCGGGACTGAATCTAACTCATGATCAATTATTTTTCCTCAATTATGCTCAGGTACTTATTGATTTTGGTGACTGTGTTGTTGAAATTACTTTAATAAATGTCGCAAGCCTCAGTATAGCCTCAAATAATTTAACATCTTATTACAGTATTTGGGGGGGGGGGGGGGGGGAGGGAGAAAGAGGAGAGAATATCCTAAGCAAAATTCATTCTTTACATGAATACATAGTGTCTGCTTTGCTAAAATTAGTGGAGACAAAACTAGTGAGAAAAAAGAATATGAAAAATTATTGTAGTAATTTTCCACTGTTAATTTACAGCGTTTTATGTTAGGTAACCCATTTATCTCATTATTTTATTTCTATTACCACTTCTACATTCGTCATCTCCCACCAGAGTGTATATAAAAGCAAAATTCTTGCAAAAACAACTTTTGGCAGCTATTGCTGACCGGTTACTTCATAATACTTTTAGCTACTGAATTGGTTTATCAATTTCGCTAGCCGCATTTGCTTCATGAATATTTAGGGAAGAGCCAAAGCTTATTCAAAGGCGTATTACTTTATATTTTAGTTTGACAGGAACATTTGTTGGTTCCCTCTGGCGTATTAATAAATAGGCTTGTTTTAAATCTTCATCTGAGTTTGTATTTATAGTACTTCAGAAGGTAAGTCATCTATCTGCCTTTATGGTTCTGAATGTTGACATTTAGAGTACCGCAGAACACTACAAATTTATAGTCTGAAATCTTGAATTAAACTTTCGGACTTATTTGATTTAAATCATAATAGAAACGGTAAATAACTAAATAAATCATAATAACAACAGTAACGCAGATTTACTAATTTCTGCAAATTAAGCAGCATAGCAAGCAACTAAATTTACTAATTGTTGTAATTAGCCATAATTAAGTAATAGTATTAAATAAATTGGCCCTTCATTTGCTTCTGTGCTCTTAAATGCCGGATGCTGATTCTTTTAGGATATAAAGCTGACTTGCCCTCCATTACCTAGTGTACAAACAATACAAACAATCGAATGATTCTTTTTGTTTTTAATTTAAAATGGTGTTATCTGACATTGGCATAATCTTAGAAAATACAAATTCTCTTCATGCAGTATAATGCATCAAAATACCTTTACGAAGACTTTTATTTCATATAACAGATTCAAATCATTGGCAGAATTTGGCAGTCTATAATGCAAGTATCGAATTTAAAATACATAATTCAGTATATACCCATTTTTTAAATATGACAGTCCTCGATCATGAAATTATTGTTGTAAATCTTAGGCCGCGATATTTCACGATTTACTTCACGACTGTGGAAAAATTTTGCCTATATTTTTTGCGATAAAATCACTGCATTAATTATAGTTGACATCAACAGAAGAGACAGTAATGAGTCCTTCTGTTCGTAAAATAGCATAGTGTCTTATTTTGAGGAATCTCTACTGGGTATCTCAAAAGATTGTTCACAAACTTTACGGGCTTATCTGTCAGACCATGAAAAACAAGTTTTACATAGGAAATTATGTCAAACTGTGACCAGCCGCCGCAGAGAGCGATGTTCACGGGCATACTGGGAAGCAAAAAAAGGGATCATTTCAGGTAAGTTGCAGAAGAAGGATGTATCTGTTCAATAAAAAGGAATTGGTTGATATGGTATGGTATATTTAATTATGGCAAAGCACTGGAGGGCTATGTGCCTAAGAATAGGAATGCCTTCATGGCAGACATCCTAAGGAAATCTGTCTCGTATACACCTCACACATTAGGAAAAACCCATGCAGCCAGCCTGTTCGCTGGGATCTGAAACCTGGGCCAAACTACCAGCGTTTAGTGACTTTACCACGCGACCGATGGTCGGCCATTGGCTGATATGAATTATGTTTATGGTGCCGTGAATAGAAACGGACAAGCTGTGAAACGCATATGCCGAGAACTGTTCCCAAAGAGAGACAGACGTCTGCCAAATCGCCCATTGTTTGGACAATTGCACCGCAGATTAAGTGAGGCAAGAGCTTTTCGAGTAAGCAGCCACATTAAAGCCCACTGCTTTTCTTTTGCTGTAGCCGACAACATACTACGCGCCCATCTGCCGTAAGGAAAGCTATGCTAGGGAAAACTGAGAGGCCACCATAATCCCCTCAGGTTACTCCTGTAGGTTTCTTCATATGAAGTTACATGAAGCACCTGATATACTAAACACTCTAACATCTGGCTTCGACCTCGTTGTCAAGATCATGGAAGGGTCGGCAAGTGTCCATGACACTCCTGAACAAATTGAATAAGTCCGTGAATCCATGCATAGACGCTGTGAAGCATGTGCATGTTCACGACACTATCGTTCCCCTTTCTTTGCGTGTCGATAACGTTGCTGTAGCACCTCACTGTTTGATTTTGAGTCCCTGTATAAAATTTGTTTGTCATGGTCTGACACAGCAGTACGTTAAAGTTTGTAAACGACCTTTTGGGACACACTGTGTAACAGACATGGCAGGAACATATTTTTATCACTAAACGAACATGTAATAGATAATTAATAGCTTAAACTGTTGTACACATGGTAATGTTATAGAAATATTTACAACATAAGCGTGTCTGATCATCTGCTCTCATATTCCTCTTCCGTAATACTAAGTTGTCAAACAGAATACTCGTCGTGATATTTTTATTAAAAAAAAAAAAAAGAAAAAAAAAAAAAAAAAAAAAACAGTAATATTTTCTTTTCCAAAATTCATTTTGTTCTTGCATTATTAAAGCTTGGCTATTAAAAAACTAAAAAGGTATTCTTCTTAGAAATCGGCAATCTTAAAAGTTAATAATTGAACACAAACAAATTCTATCAGTGTTACGTTTTAAACAAGTTTCGGAAATTTTTTAGTAGTGAAAATTTATTATTTGTGAAGTTTTTATACTCATCATAAATTAGTTTCGGACACAAAAAAGCTTTTAATTTTTTTTTATGTAAAGTACTTATTACTTATATCGTATATAGATTTGGTGTGGATCCATGAGGCCAGAAGATGCACTGAGTAAAGTAAGATCTTCAGTTCACAGTCCAGGCCCCATCAGGTGAGAAACAATATACACTTAATATTTTTTTTATTTTCCTTAAACTAACTGACATACAATGAATGTTAAGGATAAGAAGAAAACGTGTTCTAAAAAATAAAGTTTCATACTAATTTTTTAGTGAACCTAAGATTTAAAAAGTTCGATGAACTGACTAAAACGTGATACTGCAAAAACTTTAGCTAAATATTTCTAAGCAAGCTAGTTACAAGGCAGAGGTGAGTGAGGCAGCTGCATCGGGTGAAAAATTAGAAGGGTCCGCCAAAATTAGCTATTAAAAATTATAAATTCCTTTTAAGAAAGGAAACTTTAAGAAAGGATTGTTAGTTCTTAACTTCGAAACACATCAAAAAGACTTGCTTTTAAATCGTATTTAAAGTAACAAAATTTTATCAGCATTATTTATGATAAAAAAAAACACTGCATTCTTAATGCTTCTTTCCTATATATAAAGGGTGCCTATATTATTTCCATCATACATTCTTTTCGTAGCAATCTTCTCAGTCAGGATGACTCCTCTGAGTTCACCTTTTAACGTAGCCTAGTATTTTAACCCCATAATAAGCAACAAGATTATTTAAATGGGAGTTAATTGATTCACTTTTACTTTACTGCAATCAGGTTTCTTTAACACATACTTTTATTGTTAGGCCAAAGGGATTTGAGTCCCCAGAGGACTATTACTTTCGTTTTGGCATTTGGCGTCGGACTCCTATAAATGTCAGTTCACTCTTCAAACTGTTGCCAGAAAATGTTAGAGTCCTGCATTACATTTGAAGAAATTAACTAATGAAAACCCTGCGTAAATGTATGTATATTTCTTGCATTGTGATAAAACAACGGTAACTAGAGCCATCCAATTTTGAATGACGTAATCCTACTGCGAATATGGGCATCTGAAATCCCAAATTTGAAATTCGGAATTTGTTTTATTATCGATTTCCTATTTTGTAAAACTTTAACGAATTTTTGAGTAACAAACTCAACGATTTAAAATCGAGCAATGGCAACACTCTACGGGGGGGGGGACCTTTTTATCTTGTAGAGTTGCGCGCCTCCAACCTGCACGCAACAAAGTGGTGACTGCTGAAACTGGGAATTAGACAGAGTCTTGAGAAGGGTTTAAGTCCCTTTTTATTCAACTTTAGAAATTACAAATGCGTGCTCTTGACTCTCACAAACTACGCCGACCCAGCGGTAAAATAAAAATAAAAGGAAGAAACTAAAAGAGATACTAACAAGTCACTAACTACGAGGCTCTCTAAACGTAACTAACCTCACCGCGTTTTACAATACCGCTGATACTTCAGCAAACTCTGAATATTACGTTGAAAGTTTAACAATTTGCCTAGGCAAGCACACAGGCCGAAACGCGTGGTTCTTCAATTTCTGACTGACTACCTCCGCGCTCGTGAAGTAAGAAAAGCACACTTCGAACTCGTTTCCTTTCTATTTAACTCAGAATACTTCCACTGATAATTTGAATCCTTGCGCGTTCTACTAAAAATTTACATACTCTGGCATTGGCAGTTCCAGGGGAAAGTAAGGCTTGACAGGAAAGATAGTTTAAACTTAAAATAAATGTTAGTTAAAATAAATATAAACCCTACAATCTCCTGGGCGTCGAACTGTGTATCGGAAATTCTTAAAGATAATCTCATTTTAAAATTATTTTGCGATATTGCTCTTGAACTGAATTTTATGGTTTAAGTGCGAAGAACATGATATTTAATAAATAAAGATAACAGACAAAATGTTAAAAAAACGCCCCTTTAGACGTAATTTAAAATCTGAAGCTTCTCGGGTTTTCTTTTTTATACTTACTTTTATTGTTCCATTAATTCCTATATAGGGGTTAATAATAATTTTATATTATAAAAGATCCAGCTGAATTAAGATGAGAATTAGAGGGATTGATTTGATTTCCAAACGACTGCTACAAATATCCTACAAAACGAAATGAATGTACCGATTCTGAAAAACGGCAGATGACAGAAATCACAGTAACACAAGCATTAAGATTGAAAATTCTGAAAGGACTGACCACGGCATTTCTAAAGATATATGATCAACTCCCACAAACCCCACTAAAAACCATCATCACGTTCTTCAATGCTCAAAAAATCTATTAAATGATCGGCTCTTTTTTTCACATTAAAATCCACTAAATACGAACGTAAGTGCTCAGATATTTGAAGAAGATGACTTAGCAAAGTAGCATCAGTAATTTCGAAATAAGTAATTGTCAGAATTCAAGAATACGACGGTGAATTGAAGATCCTATATTATGTTGTTTTCATTTGCACCAGCATGAGGTTTAACGTTCTTTTGCTGAAAGAATCCGAGAAATGTCTCAAATCATGGTTTACAAGAATCAATGAGTTGGTCAGCAACTGATCACTTGGAAATGGATAAATCTCTAACGTAAGTAATGAATTTCTTTTTCTCTCAAAATGCAGTTTCTCGACTTTGTAACCAGTTCCAAACTACTAAGGATATCCGTAGAAGGTTTCGTCAAGATCTTCCATGGGCAACAAAAGCAGCCAATGATAATTTTCTATCAATAACAGCCTACTGAAGCAGGAAACAACACTTACCTGCAAACGGAAGCATTTCCGGACTACAGGACTAAACATACTGATGTAAAACTGTATAGAATCACTTTAATCGGTATGAATCATATACATAAAGATCTGAAATTGGTGTTGCTTTAATTGGTGTTAAAATTGGTGTTGCTTTTAAACGTAAGACCGAGTGCGTAAGAAACGGGCGCATGAACGTCATAGTTAGGATAGCACATAGTGAGTGAAAGACACGCATTTTTGCAAACAAGTGACTGGTCTTTTCTTTTTAACAGAATCTTTATTACAGAAATTTAAGAGGCAGCTTAGTTACTATGCTCAAAAATGCTTAATAATTTACATTTTCCTTAAAAATGTATGTTATACCAACCTAAAGTTACACAGTTTTACAACTCAATGCTAGGTTTCAAGTTATATCTCAACTGAGGCCCTAGTTTCTCAACATCTCGAATCAGATTTACCTTATAGTATTTGTATATTTCTATATTATTTGTTACTATTAATATTATTTATTAATAACACACTGTTTTTATAATAATTTATTAATAATACGATTTGTATATTTTTTAGAGTTTTAGGACCACTCTCTAACTCCTATGACTTCGCCCGAACGTACAACTGCCCACCGGGTAGCAGAATGAATCCAAGCAAAAAGTGCTCTGTCTGGTGAATCGTCTACAAAATCTACAAGCAATACGATTGGAGGAAAATATGTTCTGCCTTAAAGAACGAAATATTCTAAATATAAAACCTATATCTATAAAGTTTCCTTTGAACTTTCAAAGAAAATTTTTGCTTTAACTACACACTATTACTTGAAATGTTTGGACCTTTCATGATAATAATAATAATAATAATAATTAATTAGTAAGTTGTGGAATTACCGATTTCGATAATCAGACATGTTGAGACTTGCTTATTACCAAAGCGTAAAAATTTCTAGATAAATTTAACGAGAATTTCCGCCCTGTTAAGATGTAATAACCAGTCTTCGAATAGAAATAATATTTAGATGTACAGAAAACTTTATGACATATATATCTACATATATTCAAATTCAAATACCCACTATAATTGTAAATATGGCTGAAAGAAATTAAAGACAGCAAAATGAGGCAGAATTAATTACCAACACATGTACATAAAATATGTTGTAAATATGTAAATTTCTGTCACATATTATGATATCCTAACTTTTGTGAAATATGTATTTATGTATATGTGTGTATATCGGAATTTCGAAAATGGTGTGCTATTTTTTAAAATTCAAATAATGCAATACATATCTTAATAACTGGTTTTTAATTTAAAATACATTTTAATTGTTATATAGAATTATACACATAAACTGTAGTATGTTATGAATTTATAATTTGAACAGAGTAAATGTTGTTTCTGTTCGTTAGACTCGAAGCGATTTGAACTTTAAAAAAATGGCAAAATTCAGGCCTTTTTATTATTTTATTTTTATCAAAATTTTATCATTTAAATAATTTTGAATAATAAGGAAAATTACAAGGAAATGGATGAATAAATAACTTTATAAAGAAATCCTTCATTTTCTTTTCAAAATTAAATTGAAAAAAAGTATTCTGCATATAGAATGGCGATGCTGCTATACTTTTTCTTAAAAATTGAAGGATATCAAAAAGAAATTCATTGTAATTTTCAGCACACACTATTAAGAAGCGATCGATAACGCTTTTTATTCTAATCATCATTAAATTTTATTTTCTCATTCTAGATTGTTAGTTTCTTAATTTTATATTACAGTTTCAGTATCACATAATAGTTAAAAGTTTAATTTATGGAAATTTTTAAATTCACCTTTTTCTTTTAATCGACAACCGTTACACGAGTCAGAATTTTTGATACCATAATTTCAATAATCTAACAAAGAATTATAAAGAACAGATGAAGATGGAAATCTTATTTATTAGTGTAAATAAAATTATTGTTTATTATTACTTGATTTTGTTAATTTTCTTCGATTTTCTATTACACAAAATTCCCATAAACTTTACCTGAATCATTTACTTCAAAATAGTATTCTCAATTATCATTATGCAAACAAATCAAAATTAATTGTATCGTTATTTTTTGTACTTAAATACAAAATTTATCATAATAAATTATTTATATAATAATGTTATTTGGCTAGAATAAATTTTGCTCTTCAACTCCTTTAAATATTTAGCTGAAAATTTCAATTACCAAAATTATTTCATGTTTATAAAATTTCAAAAAAATTACGTTCGACAGCTAGTTTGTTTGCTTTCTAATTTTTCGCGAATTTATTCGTTAAGGATCTCTCCCCCACCCCCGCAAGATTTTATTTTGTTCGTTAGCTTTTTGATCCATTTGTTTCTCGGTTTGGCTTGATTTCACCTCCTTTGGTTTGTTTGTACATTTGTTCGTAATTTTTTAGTCTCTCTGACATAACAGTTTAAATGATATCTATATTCTATATCTTATCACCTATGTTTTATCCCTACTTATTTATTCATTATTAAGCGAATAAACAACAAGATATTCTTTCGGTTTTAAAAACTTTAATTTATGCTTTGCATTTTTATAACTTGTAATCGCTTAATTTCATGACTTCAAAAAACATCTATTATAACAACAAATTCGCGTTACAGTACTTTAAATCGTTCTGTTCAAAGAATTATGCATAATATAATTAGTATGTACTTTTTTTACATGCATATGCAAGATTTTACATTCTCTACCCATAAGAAAAAACTATAAGTTAATTTTACTTAGGAAAGTTTTGTATCAACACTTTTAACTGTCCATTGCGTAAGGTATTAGTATTTTCTTCAATATCTTCTTACTTTTATTGTATTAGTACTTATATAGATATATATAATAAATTAAATGCTCAAAAGTCGAAACGAAAAAGAAAATGCCGTATTAAATATTTGAAGGTTAATCCTCAAGTTCTCTTTAAAGAGCTAAACTAAGGAGATTTTTTTAAAAAATATTTTTTATTGTTTTCGTTTTGATATGTACATATTTATAATTTTTTTATATTTTTCCTTTTTGAAGTGAAGATTTTTTATTACTATTTTTTAATTTTCTTTAATTTTCGTTTACCAGTTTATCTTGTAACGCGGAGAAAATGGGATTAACCTTTAAACATTTAATACGGCACTCTCTTTTCCGTTCCTATTTTTGAGTATTTAATTTATTATTTTCAAATCTTGCAGCACATTGTACAAATCTGTGTCTCTTTTATTTTCTTTTTAAACTCTTTAAAAAGTATATACATTTCTGAAATAATTAGTTTTACTGCAAGGTTATTTATATCGAAATCGGTATAACAACAACTTTGCTAAATTCACTGTACCACGCTGTTGGAAAATTTCACTGAGCTTCATGTCTATATTATTTTCACTTAAGTCATAAGCTATAGTTACATTTCGATCGTAACCAATGTACAAATATGAATACATTTCGTGAAGTTATGAATTTAAATCAATGCCAGAACTGATCTTCTCTTTGTATACTTATATGCATTATTGGAACGTCTATGTTGTAGCGGCCACTGTGAAAGAAAATCGCCAAGCACAAACTGTGTGGCATGAAAAAAAATCGCCAACATAGAAAGCACAAAAATAACAAAAACTGTAAACTAATTTCAATAAATTAGTTTTGAAAAGTATTTAATTTCAGATTTTTAAAAAAGTAATTTATAAGAAAGTACTGAAAAAGAGTAATATGTAATAAAACCACGCTTATATTTATTTCTAGCATAAAATTTAGCGCATGTAATTTCTGCAGTTGTTGTTAATGCGACTTAGAAAGCTTTTTATATCCTATGCACTGGCGGCACATAAATTCTGTTAAATACGGCTCAAGCTGAACTCTTCTTTCAACTAGTAACCTTTCAAGTAAAAGGCATTACATCATGTAGTTAGGCTAACCACACGTACTGTTTTTTCCGGCATTTCATAAGCTTCACCCACATTTTTATTAAAATGACAGCTTTGTCCCGTTTGCAGTAAAAATTATAAATATGCGCTAACGAATCAACTGTGTTTCATGACACTTGAGCTAGTGTGTAGATAGTTTGTTCTGACGTCCACAGTATTCAGAGAATTATTAAAAAATGAGAGGTAATTGATTCTATGGAATAAAAATACCATTCGTAACATTCTTGTATTTGAGATGAGTACAGAATGTTTTTGAACTAAGCGACAGTTGCCAGTGTTTTCAAAATTTTTCGCAATGCTATGGAATTCATTCTTTCCGGAATGAAACTGGGAGAAGTTCATGTCAACCATTAGGGTATGAAAGTTATGTGAAATTTTTATATAAAAATTTATCATGGAGTATGAAAAGTATATAACAAAGTGTAGAAAGGCATACGCAAAGTAAGCATACGAGAATATTTGTAATCAGTCGTGGCAAGATATAATCCATCTATCTCTAAACGTATCTAAATTTTTATTATTAAAAAGTTTTCTTAGTGAAAAAAATAATAGTAAATTTGACATCTTTATATCATAAAAGTTTGTGATCTTTCTTTGTCATGATTAATCTTCGCCCTGTTTATGTTTCCCATTATCCCGTTTTGCCTTATGGAAATATTGTGAGCCTACCCTTAGCAGAACAGGAGAAAATGTTCATAAAATGCACATAGATATCAGTGGTGAAAGCATTTGGAGGTGCATTGTTAAAAGTTGGAGAGAGAAGAAAAGCTTTCTTATTATAAATTGACCCGGTTATCATTTCTAAAAACATTGTGGTGTACATATTTTTGCGAAGAACTCCCGTCCTTTAAATGGTGTAAGAAACAGTTAAAAATCGGTGAAATAACTGTTAAGTAGTATAATATTGTCTGCACGATGGGCTTAATACGGTGTATTGTCAGTCAGCAATTAATCGCGGATGGGGGGGGGGATTTTCTTTCAGTGTCTGTCGCTATAACACACGGTTATCCTATTTATTATTCATCTAACTGAAATAATTTCTATGCAGCTTCTTTTTATTTTCAGTGATGATATTTATATGTTGTGCAATATATGTATGTGTAAAATAGCTGGATTGTATAAAATTTTTCTTAAAAGGAATTCTCCTAGTGCTGCCATCTAGTGTGAATCTTGGGAAATTCCTTTTCTCTTGTATGAAAAGTCATTTATCTGCAATTTACCTTTCTTTGTAAAATAAAAATACTTTTCTTAGTTCTTGTAATTTTTCATGTTTCAATTACTAAGCAATAATTATACAGCTAAGGCACTCTTTTTTTTTTACTTGTTATAATATGTGTAATAATTGCAAGTAACGAAATTGCGTTTAAAAAAATTCAAGAAGCAAAGCAATAATCTAGCTCAGCTAGTACCGAAACTTTTAAACTTTACCACCCACGTTTTAGAAAAAACCCAATTTATAGCGAGCCACTTCATCCTCGGCGCACTGAAATTTTTCAGGGGCAAACAACACGTTCTTTCGGAAAGAAGTTTTATGGGTCAAAAAGGAAATTTTGTAAAGGAAAAAATCTTTATTATTAATATAATTTTACAAATATATATATATATATATATATAAACTAAAAGATGTGAAAGCTTTCAGATTTATATTAGGCCCAAAGGGGTGTTTTTTTTTTAATGTTTTGTGTTATCTTTATTTATTAAATATCATGTTCTTCGCACTTAAACCATAAAATTCAATTCAACAGCAATATCACAAAATACTTAAAAGAGTATATCTTTAGAATTTCCGATACATAGTCTCACGCGATGGAGATAAAAGCGGGGTTTTTTTGTTCTTATTTTATTTATTTATTAATTTCCCCCGTACAGTGCTGCCGTTGCTCGACTTTGAAATCGCTGAGTTTCTTAATCCAAAACTCATAAATGCTTTACAAAATATGAAATAGATAATAAAAACAAATTTCAAACTTGGGCTTCCAGATGCCCATATTCCGATGGAGACGAACTTTATTGAAAATTTGATGGCTCTAGGTATCGTTATCTTATCATTAGTGCGAAGAAACATACATACATTTATGCAGATTCTATCAATTATTTAATTTCTTTAAATATAACACAGGGCTCTAATATTTGGTGGCAACAATTTAAAAAGTGATTCTCCGTTTATAATGAATCAACGCAAAATGCCAGAAAGGAATTAATAGCCCTTCCGGGAATGTTGGCCCTTTTGGCTAATGAGGCATGCGTGAAGGGTGCGCTAATTTTTCGACTGCTGTTCATGGTGGCAATAATGTCCAGATCAGCTCATTTTCAGACGCAAGGATTTCGACAACTACATCGTGTTTGGATACGTGGTTTAATTTCCACCATTATCAAAAAGTCAACTTCACTAAGGTATGAAAATGCAAATAGCCGTAACACCTTCAAATCATCATAGAAAAAATAAGGATAAATTTGTGGGACAATTAACCAAAACTATGTCAGTATACAACTATTAAAATTCAGTTTCAATAATGTATTTTCGAATAAGTTGATAAACTCATTAGCTTTCGACAATATGCCAGTAGTAAATGTTACCATGGAAGGGATGCGGAATCCAGTTCTCTTAGCAGTTCATCATTTCTTCAGCAAAGTAAAAATTAAAATTTTCTCTCAATACATTCAAATATTTTGAGATCTTGGTAATTTTGCTATCAGAAAGCATTATTTTGCATTATTTTCGATAATAAAAATCTGATATGTTTCAAAGCTCTCATTTTTGTAGTCTTCAAATTTTTCCCCCATAAAAGTAAATTTTTGAGGAATCTTCGAATTTTGTCATGCGCTGCAAATATATCAGCATCTTCCATGCCCTGTAGGTAGGAATTTAATTCATTAAATTTTGTATGTCAAACAATGGGGTCTAATGCAGCTGGAAAAGAGGTCGAGGATTTACTGAACTGAGTACTCTTATGCTTATTTACAATATATCCGACCCTAAATTATTTCTTCTTTATAATGAAACTCTCACAACTCCTGACCTCTTTTGTGTTTCTGCTGATATGGGAGTATCTGCGAAGAGGATGGTCATTGAAATTAGAATCAAGATCGGGCCATAGACACAGGTTAGTGCCTGCGTCTGCTTACAAATACCTAAATCTAGCTTTGTTGTCTATAATAGGATGTCATGGAATTTTCGCAGGGCTAAATGGAGTCATTTCCCTAACTTGAGGAAGACTTAGCCCTTAAGAAGCTAGACTTCTGAAAACGCTCCTCTAAACTAATTGATATCTTGTGTGAAATCTTCCTCCGTTGTGGCAAAAGAAATATCTCCAGAGGAAATCAAAAGACTTATAAATGTTTCTGGACCTCTGAACTTAAACTGACTAAGGCCAAGATAGATCGCTTTAGGAAAAAGGATGTGCTTAATGTTCGATCTATGGATGTAACTGCTTGGAGGAAACAGTCGGTGGTTTTGAGGAAGACTCTTTTGCCTGAAAAGAGAAAAAAAAAAAGTTTGATACTTTCATAAATAACCTGTGAACGACAGTTTAAAAACATATAGATTCCTTTCTAATATTCAAAATAAGGTTTCCAATCCCTTATAACAGCCAATACATTCGAATAATTGAACTCTACATAATGACAGTGAAATCGCTAACGCTTTTGGAAAGTTTTATTCTAAATCCCAAAGGAAACAACTATTTGCTGGGAGACTGTCAAGCTTTTATTACGAAGAAATGGTAAAAAGCTGAATTAGCATCAACGAATGAGACTACCAAAAATCTTGGTCTTTGAAATTCCTTTTCGTAAATAGAAATTACTGCTTGCTCTTAGAGGTCTAAAAATAGGAAAATCCCCTGAAGAAGATGGTATTCATGCTGATTTTCTGAGGCACTTTGGGGATTGTGCATTGGAAAGATTACTGTCTATTTTTAATTATTTATGGAATCTTTGGGGATGTGCGTGTTCAATATACGTTACTAATTACGGTGCTTTTATTCTGTCAGTGTACGCTTGTGAACCACTAATAACTATGTCCGAAAGTCTGATAACAAGCTGGAGATCATACAAAATCAAGCCCTCAGGCTTATTACTGGCGCGGTTAAGACTACGCCTATTGACTCCATGTTATTACTGACAAATATTAAATCATTGAAGACAGTCTTTGAGGAGAAACAGCTATCATTTTATACGAAGAATTATTACATCTTTATGATGTCTTTGGGAAAAACTATCAGAACTTTCCTTATAATCTTAAAACACAAAGGGGTTTTATTCAGAGAGTCCTGAACTGTAGGAGTTCTCTTTTTCTCCCTGTAACAGTAGGTTTTTGAAAGAACGTATTCCTTGACTAACGCATGAAATAAGGACGAAATTAAATCTTCAATACTCCGTTCTAAAAATGATATACTACTCCTGAGGTTCTTCGCAACCTTGCTCTGGAGACTTTAAACAACAGGCACTCTGAACTTTGACTAGCTAAGTATCTATACTGATGGCTCGTTTTCTAATGACCAACCGAATACTGGAGCGAGAATCTTTTTGTGGCCTGTTCATTTTTTATTTCTCTATTGAAAGTTTTCGAACAGCCTTTGATGGAGATGTTTCGGCTATACACATAGCATCATCTGCACATATGCTGACATATTTTATCCAATCTTTGCACTTTATATCAGAGTCGAGAGTCTTAAATATTTCTTCACTCCTCGAACAACTGGTTCACAAAATAACATATCTTAATGCAATTTGTGGTTCCAAACCTAAAGCATGAAAACAAATCTTGTACAAGACAAATCTTGTATATCAGTAGATTTTTCCATTTGCACTGAGGAAAATTTACTTCCAGTACTTTTTGTATCAGTTGATTTCTTACTCACTGGGACATTTCATCAATTCTGCGAGCTGCTGTTTTGTTTGAAAATCGTATTGTTTCGACTTCTTATAAGCACTTTTTACTTTCAAGCTGCATCCTTTATCGCCGAGAGCATAAATTATGTACGGTTTACCAGTTTTCGTAATTCTATAACTAATCAGATATGAAGCGTGCGCAGTGTTTTCGGTGATCTTGGTTAAATGAAAACGTTCTGTTTTTGATATTTTCAACATATTTACATTTATTTTGAAAATTTTAAGCTTGATTTTTTTTTAAATCGAGATGATTTACCTTTAGGTGTCGATGTAATTTACTTGGGCTCAAAATTTCGTTTGAAAATACTTCACTGCAAATAACACTCAGGTTTGGGATTATCTTCATCTTCATTCGATGAAAAACCTTAATGATACAGCGTCTGTCAAAAAAGTAATGAAACTGATTCCATAAAATTCTTTTATTTGAAACAATTTTTATTTGAAGATAATTTACTTAATATTCTTCAAAATAGTCTCCTGCTGCAGTAATAAAACTTTGCCAACGCCTCTTGCACCTATTTATGCCCGCTTGTACTTCTTCAACTGAAATGCTGTTCAGAACACGTGTTACGTTTTTCTCAAGATGTCAAAACGATTACTTTTTTAAGATGGATTTTAACACAGGGAACAGGAGAAATCTGGCGGTGGCAGATCGGGGCTGTACGATTGTTGGGGCAGCGTTGTGACGTTGTTTTTGGAAGGAAGTGAGTTCTTTTGAAGGATGTATGAACCGGTGCATTAGAGTGGTGCAGAATCCAATTGTTTGTGAACTCCCAGCGGACGCGCGCGTTTTCATTCCTCAACCTGTAAAGCACTCCCTTGTAAAAATCTGCGTTAACCGTTTGTGCGGGGGTTACGAACTCTTTGTGCACTATTTCCTTGTTGGCCAAGAAGGCAATGAGCAAGGACTTCATTTTAATTTACTCACTAGAGCCTTCTTTTGACGAGGAGATTGGGGTATGTGCAGGCTGTATCTTTGTTTTAGGAACAAACTGAAAAACGCACGTTTCTTCACCTCGCTTCAAAAACTTAAGATCATATACTACACTCCAACAACTCATGCGAAATCGACTCACGGTTTTCTTTCTGTCCATCAGTCAAAATACTTGGAACCAGCTTGGCACAAATTTCTGCATTCTGATTTTCTACGCATATTTCCTTTGAATTCTTCCTTTTTTCATCTTCCCTGGCGATCTGATGCACAGTCGATTGTGTAAGTTGCAACAACACAATCATTCGAACACTCCGACGATCAGAGTTTAAAAGTGCTTCTATTTTAGCCACATTGTCCGAAGTTCGAGAACATGATGGATGCTAAGTGCGTTGTTCGTCATCAACGTCCTCTCATCTGTCTTTGAAGGCTTTGTGCCA